AAGTTCGGCATTCTATTGTTATGGTCACTCACTCACTCATTTCGGCAACAGTCTCCTGTAGTTGTGTACAGCAAATCTATTCAAAATCACGTTTACATCGAATTTAGGGAAGAAATACCTTTGAACATACACCCTAACGTTTTTCTTTTGTTTTCTTTATCACCTAGCTTGAGAGAAAAGTATGGTAAATTGTATTCCATGAAGGTGGGGAGTTTTAAAACCGTCGTTGCCGAGGATGCTGCTTCAGTGAAAGAAGTGTTGGTGAAGAAATCGGCTGATTATGCTGGAAGACCTCCATTCCATAGCTTCGTGATGACCACTCTTGGTATGTAATGCAATGCCGATTAACATTTGTCATTTGTTGTCAACTCAGAGGGCAATATAGAAAATTCTCTGGAAATTGACTGCCAATGTGGAGTGGGGGAGCGGGATGGGTTGGATGAAGGGGTCATACGGTCATACAAACATTACAGAGTCCTATAGGGAGATCAGGTAAACTTTATTGTCACCTACCCCTGCTCTCTCCCCCCCCCCCCCCCATCCCTCCTTACGGCGATAGATAATGACCGGTCTTCTAAGGGCTACAAAAATCCATGAAAGTTATATATTTTCTTGTATTGCATTTTAGGCGGAAAGGATATCGCATTTGGAAATTATGGTCCTGCATGGAAGTTTCATCGCAAACTCTTTATGACGGCGGTGCGAAAGTATATCTCGGATCAAGAGCTGGTTGAAGAAAGAATCTCCGAGCAAGCAAAAAGGCTTCTGCAGTACTTTGAAGACCAGAAGGAAAAAGGTTTTGACCCATCACAGATTTTGATGGAAAGCGTTGCCAACGTCATCTGTCGAATCACGTTTGGAAAGCTCTTTGATTCATCACATCCAGATTTTAAGGAACTCTTGGAGATAAACAACAGAGCCTTTACAGACACCGAATTGAATAGTCAAATATTTATGTTAGATAACTTTCCCATAGCCAAATACCTCCCATTCAAAGCTTACGAAACAGAGAAAAAAATGACTGATCGACTCTTTGAGATTCTGCGCAATCAGCTAAGGGTGCAAGAGAAAGCATTTGATCCCGAAGCGGAGATCGAGAGCCTCACTAGTAGCCTTTTGAAGGAAAAACTTGTCGCCGAAAATGAAGTTGGCACTGGGGAGAAAGCAGCCATCTTGTCCGACGACTACATAATCAACACCATGGAAGACATGTTCAGCGCTGGTTATGAGACCACCAGCACTACTCTTCGTTGGGCCATTGCTTATTTAGTTCACAATCCTGACTGTCAAACAGAGATTCAGAACCAGTTGGATGAGGAGGTAGGGAGGGATCGTATGCCAGGTCTGGATGACCGCCCAAACCTTCCGCTGGTTCAGGCCACAATCATGGAAACACTTCGCCTCGGAAATGTCGCTGAAGCAGCTCTTCCTCATTACACTCTGAAGGAAACCACACTTGCTGGTTACCGTGTTCCAAAAGATACTGTGGTTTTGCCCAATCTGATGGCCGTTCACATGGATCCAAGCTGCTGGGAGGATCCGACCAAATTCAACCCACACCGCCATATTGATGCTGATGGCCAAGTTATTACCAACTCTGGAAACTTTCTACCCTTTTCTGCTGGACGCCGCGTTTGTGCTGGCGAGGCACTTGCAAAGGTACTGTTAACCGTTTTAGTACAAAGGGGCAATTATTTTAGTACGCATTTAGTACGCAAAGGACAAAAAAGACCTTCGACTGCGTCTATATATCTCTCCTTCCTGTCGTTCATGTCCGTCAGCCTTATGACAAGGTTTCCATCTCTTTTCAGAATTCCAAGAAGGGCACATGTTATTCGTTTCATTAAATTGTGATAGAGGAAAGTAATAAGGAGTGATCCGTATTAAAAAACATCACTCCTCGTTGCGAGTGATATGGTGGATTCATCTTATGTGTATCAAGCAGAATGCAAGTAATAAGTGATTATGTTTACTTTTCTGTTCTTCTAGGTCGAGTTGTTCTTTTTCCTGTCCTGGATGTTGCACAAGTTTACCTTCTTGCCCCAAGAGAACGGTGTTCTTCCTGACCTTAAAGGAGTCGATGGTTTTACCCGTTTTCCGGCGCCTTACAATATAAGGGTAGAAAAACGTCAATAGAAGCCTATGATCTTAAGCGAACGGTGTTATAAGCAGAAGTTGACTTGAGAGCTTGTAACAAAATAGGTCCTGATTTGCACAAACCGTGCGTCGGAAACTGTTTATACTAAGTTTTCCTAATGTGTATCATTATAGTAGTAGCAGAAGATTGAGAGCATCTTTATTTGGGTTAACAATAGTTTAAGGGTAAAGTATACTCAAGAAACCATATAATTATTTTTTCTTTCGTGGAAAAGTATCCGTATGAAATTATGAAACTGCCCGCAATTTGAAATTTCAGAAAGTGTCATGGAACCTTCTAAAATTATGTTCAGTTGCGCCAAAGCTGCCTGCATGGACGCCGCCATTTTGAATCTCGCTTAGCAGCCTGGCAGCTTAATTGTGACATGAATTAGTCTCATTCCTCTCTTTTTTAGCGGTCTGATTAGAACAATACAAAAAAGTATTCTTGACTCAAACAATAATCCTTTGTTATAAAAAGAGCAGAGCTGTTTGTTAACTGCACCCTGTGGTTTAGTATGTGCGACACTTTAGTGTTTTGAGAATGGCAGCGTATATAAAAAAAAAACATTTTTAGTAACGAATTGATGTTACTTTTTTTAAATGGTTGCGTCTAAAGAAGCCACTGTAACAAATTCCTATTTATCAGTAGTGTGGATGCTTTTTCGATGTACCTATGTATTCTTACCATACGTTTTTAACTATACTCATTTATAGAAAATGTAAAATCGTAAGGATTAAACGTTTAAGGTATACTATCAGCATGATCTCACTTTAAAAAGAGGAATTGGTAAATAGTCGGGAAGGTAACTCAATCATAGATGAAGAGGTTTGTTGACAGCCAATTTACCCTAAACAGAGCTGGGAGTTCGATCATGAAATCTAAAGGACTAAATCTGTATCTGGTTTAAACACAAAGACGGGGTTACCAGGATACCCACAGTCGAAACGTCCAAAGCACTATGAAACCCAGAGTTGTATTTTACATTTAAGAGTCTTAACTTGCAACTCTCGCTACATCATACATCATTTAAGTTATTCTGGAGTGTTCTCCTTCCCTCCCCCACCCCCCCCCCCCACCCCTCTCAAGTAACGCATTAGAACGTGTGTGCTGGGTGGCTGATAGGTGAGCTTTGCAAGCAAAGAATGTAACGCAATAAGACATTTGACAAAATTTAGTTGGCAAGTAGTTCAACCCCTTGAACCTTAGGAGTGACTAGTATTCAATTTCTCCTTACACTGATCAGCCCTGAATCACACATTATGAGGTCATAAGGAAAGAGAAATGGACCATCAACTAAAGAGTATATTGACTGTTGAACATATTCTCTTTGTCAGCACCTTCGGATTAAAATGTACAGAGACTAGCGTCGACAATATGTATACTGATAAAGGGTTATTACGTAATCTAAAATAACACGCTATTTGAAAGTTTACCGAAAGTTGTGTCGGAATCTTTTCAGGCAGATGATGTAGTTCAAAGACATGAAACTCACAAAACTTTTTGGGTGTCAATTGATAAGTGTTTGACGGCCTGTGTATGATGCGAAAAGAATTGATCTCCTTTGATAAAAAGGAGCTGGCCGGGTCAGTTTCCCCAGCTCGAAGTAGGGTGCAACTAATATCTAAGAATGGAATCAAGTAACCACAAAAATCAGAAATAACACATGAGTTGTAAATGTCATGAACGACCCTAGGATGACCAAACTTCTAACAAATTCCCCTTAAATGTGTAGAATCATGACTCCTCTGAAAAAAGTATAATATTCACAATTTCATCTATGTTTCCAGGTCAGCTGGTAGTTTAACATAATTCATGCCTAGAATTCCTCTAGGTTTCAATCTTTTCATCAATGATACCAATTTGATGATAAAGAGTCTTAAAAGCTAGATATATTTTTCAGCCTCTCTAAACGAGTCAGACAATTACCTCAAGTTAGGGTAAAGGCCCTCCTTAATGCCAAATATCAAAGTAAGTCACAAATAATGTATTTGTTACAATAAGCAAACATGACTCTGGGATGATAGCAGGTCAATCGATCGATTCACGGGGCCAAACTGAAGTGAAAGAAACTACAGGAGGAGATGAAGGAGAGTCAGTTTAGACTTCCAAAAGGGCTACCACTCAAATACACGCGCAAAACCGCCGAGCACTGAATCTTTTCAGCTTTAATATTGCAATTCACTTGAAAAGGGATTATGGGTCAAGCGACCAAAACCTGGACCAAGAAGCATTGTTAATGTTTTCCCGGTCAGAAAGTACAGAAAGTAAAAGCCAGTATAACGAGAAAAAAAATACAAGAAACCTGCATTATATCACTCGCAAAAAAAAACCCTCTGTGTTATTTTAATTAAAACTTTATCCTAAATTTACTTAGTAAAGAAACAGGTTCTGTAATTAAACATATCATTAAAGGCTATTTTTATCTAAGATTTTCAAAGCATGCACAATATCAATTACCGCTTACAAGATAAATTACTACTGGGATGAAATTACCGAGTTAAATAAAATAACTCTTATTTTTACGAAATTAAAGATGGAGATACCAAGATCGAGGAAAAAAAACATAGGTTCCAAAGTAATTGTTTATTTTCCATTAATTGTTTGTCTAGCCAAAGGTCATTTAAAAGCGTATATGTGTTATACCAATAGCTCACCATGGAAATCCTATTACTGGCGTTTTACTACCCTAATTTTGTAAGCAGCTGGAAAGCGAGTGAAACCACTTTCTCCTTTAAGATCCGGGAGATTGCCATCCTCTGATGGCAGAAATGTAAATCTATGCAGCATCCAGGACAAGAACAGGAACAGCTCCACCTGGCGTGAAACAGAAGAAAACAATATACAAAACTTTTGTATTTGTATTTGATAAAATAATGAAATGATGTTTATAATAAAGATAATAATAATAATAATAAAAACAATGTGTCCTGAGAAGCGGTCTTTACAAGATTCTATTAAGAAGCATTTCAACAAACATCGTTTTTGGACAAATTTTCTTTGTGTAAATTCTTAGGGGGTAATTACAATTAAAAATAACATATCCAAATGATGCATATAGACATGGGAAGTAGGTCTCACCTTTGCCAAGGCCTCACCAGCACAAACCCGGCGTCCAGCTGAGAAGGGTAGAAAATTGCCAGAGTTGGTGATAAGTTGGCCATCAGAGTCAATATGGCGACGAGGGTCGAATGAGTTTGGGTTCTCCCAAAGGCTTGGATCAAGATGAACGGCCATTAGGTTGGTCATCACAACGGTATCCTTCGGAACGCGATAACCGGCCAGTGTAGTATCACTTAGAGTGTAATGTGGAATAGCTACCTCAGCAACATTTCCGAGGCGCAATGTTTCCATAATTGTGGCCAAAACTAGAGGAAGTTTTGGACGATCATCCAGGCCTGGCATGCGATCTCTTCCAACAACGTCGTCCAGCTGACTCTGTACATCCCTCTGGCATTCAGGATGGTGGACAAGATAGGCAATGGCCCAACGTAGGGTCGTACTAGTAGTCTCATAGCCAGCACTAAACATGTCTCCCATGCTATTGATCATGTAGTCGTCTGATAGGATGGATGCTCTCTCCTCCGCACCAACCTCATTCGCAGCAGCAATCTTCTCTTTCAGAAGACCTTCGACGAGACTTCCGATCTCCGCGTTTGGGTCGAACTCATTTTCCTGAATCTTTAACTGCTGGCGGAGAATTTCAAAGATTCGGTCCGTACTTTTCTGCACTAATTTGTAGGCACGAAATGGAAGGTACTTTGCGATCGGAAAGAAATCTAATACAAAAATTTGATTGCTTGCTTCAATGTCGGTAAAAGCCTCGTTATTCAACTGCAAGAGTTCCTCAAAATCTGGATGAGACGAGTCGAAGTGCTTTCCGAATGTGATTCGACATATCACATTTGCAACGCTGTCCATGAAAATCTTTCCAGGGTCGAAGTCATTTCCATTTTGATCTTCAAAGTACTGCATAAGACTCATCGCCTGCTCGGAGATCCTATCTTCCACCAATTTTTGATCGGACAAGTACTGCCTGACAGCCGTCATAAAGAGCTTACGATGAAATCTCCAGGCTGGACCATAGTTTCCCAAACCAATATCCTTTCCACCTGTCGAGAGTCATAAAGCCGTGAAGAGAAATTCTAAACAAAAGTATCTCTTAATTTTACAAGTTCTTGGTGAATTAGCATATGACACTAATCTGTTTAATGCATTTAAACAGACTAGCACCATTACTCTAAAGATGAAATAGTTGTGTTTTGTCATTCGGATACGTACAACGAGGCGCTTTGTGCCGCGCTTAAAATTAAGCATCTTGTTTTACAAGTTTGTAAAATAACAACACTTGACACAACTCTTATTAGCGTATTTAACCCTTTGACTCCCAAGGGTGACCGAGACAGAATTTCTCCCAACAATACCAAGCAGAAATGTAATGGGAATAAAGAAAGATAATATGCCAAATAGGAGATTATCATTGATCCGATACCAAATTATTCAATTATAATACCCAAAGAACTGTATGGCAAATAACAATTAAGGAGAATAACTAATGAGATCTAGTATTGTTACTGCACGAAAAACTCATCCTGCTTGGACCATTTAAGCTCGTATGACGCGGTATCTGTCGTTTTTACTACTAATATGGTTCAGCGACAGCTATAAACAAACACGGCAAGGAAACAAATAAACATGGGTGATTGATCTTGTAATAAACATTTGTAATTAAGAAGAAAAAATCTGTAAGTTGAACAATTTACCAAGTGTTTCTATCATATAGCTGTGAAACGGAGGTCTTCCAGCATAATCAGCGGATTTTTTGACGAGTATTTCCTTCACAGATGCTGGATCTTCGGCAACTACGAGTTTGAAACTTCCAACCTTCATAGAATATACTGTGCCGTATTTTTCCCTCATGCTGCAAAGTAATGGAATATTTAAGGTTTAAGAAAGGCAAAAAAGGAGGTGGAAATCAAGAAACTACCTAGTGAAGCGATACAGTGTGTGAGCTGTGTGTTGTGTGACGACCGATTAACCACATCAACTTAACGATATGCAAGAAAGGATTACAGATCATTTGTTCAGTGTATTACAATGCCGTCACTCGCCTGCGAAGGACCCAGTTAAAACCAATCAGAATAAATTAATAAAAGACCAGAAAACGGCTCGATTTTTGCATTTTAAAGTAAACGACTATCAAGCAAGCAGATGTAGCTAGACAGTGGTTAGTTGGTAAAAAAATTTGAGAGGTAAATAAGGCAGTTACCTACTTTGAAGCGCTAAAGTGATTATTACAGCATAAACAAACCTTGCTGTTACTTCACTGAAACTTTCCCCTGAATCAAAGCTCATCAAATTTCCTACTAACGGCAAGCTTGTCAAACGAGGTCCCGGTGGCATGCTTCTAAACTGATAAAGCTCAATCAGTTGATTGAGAATCAGTAACAAAACGACAGCGAAAACAATATTCCCGAAGGTCAGATATTCCGACAGCAACAACTCCATGGCTTGGGATGAATGATGAAAGATAGCAAAACTCGTCTATCTTAAAAACGTTTGTTCTCTAAATCACGAGATTGTCAAACGACTCTCATGCCATTCTCCCA